TTTTGAATTGTTTGTTTGTTTTCTTTTCCTTTTCTTGAGTTGGGAGCCCTTTCTGGCCAGGCGGAGCTGTGTGGCAAGGAGCTCCCCTTCAGCTTCCACAGACGTGCGGAGGGATCCCTAAGGACAGTTCTTTTCTCGCTTGGTTTTTTTTTTGTTTGTTTGTTTGTTTTTTTGGGAGGCCTTTCTTCTTGTTTTTTTTTTTTGATTTGTTTTGTTTTCTTTTCCTTCTTTTTCTCTTTTTGTCTTTCTTCATTGCTCAGTTTCTCGTCTCTCTATATCTTCCTTCTCTTTCTGATCCCTGAACACCAGGCATTGTATGCCTCTGCGCCTTCTGGCCAGGCTGTGCTGTGAAACCTGAGAGCAACTTCCCCAGACCTCATAGCTGCATCGCTGGGATCGTTGCAAACTTTGTGGTTCTTTAACCTTTCTGATTTTTATTTGTTCATTTTTTTCTTCCTCTTCCCCTTTCTGTTTTTCTCCATTTCATAGTCTCTCATCTCTCCATTCCAATGGCAACCTCCCCTAGCATTCTTATTTGTTTGTATGTTTCTTGGTTCCCGTTGCTCTCTCCTCTCTCCCATATCCATCTTAGCTCCACACATAACCATCTCCCCGCTGCATCCTGCCTACTTGCACTGAGTCTGCCTGCTCAGACATAGTCAAATATTTTTTTTTAAAGGGATGAAACAAACAAATCTACAATCAATAAATGAGAGAAATAACTACTGAATACCCTGAAAACAGCAGACAATATCAAAACATTTACAACAACAGGACAGGACGGTTCCAGTAGGTGTCCAAATTAAAACACCGGATGACTCTACTGTGGAAGAAAATGCACTAGAAGTACCTGATAGGAAATTCAAACTTCTAATACTCGGAATTTTCCAAGAAGTGAGGCAAAAAGCTGGCAAACATGAGGAAAAAATAGACAAATTCATGGAAAATACAGACAAATTGGAAGAATTCAGGAAGATGATGCAGGAAAAAAATGCCAAAACAAATTCACAACTAGAAATTATACAAAAACAACAATTAGAAATCGAAAAGATAAACAACAAGATTTCAGAAATGGATGATGTCACAGAAGGGCTGAGAAGTAGATTTGAAACCGTGGAAGACAGGATCAGGGGAACCGAAGACAGGATCAGGGGAACC